AAGATACTTTCATGACAAAGATCACCTTAGGAACTTCATGAATACCAAACCAGCACTCCAAAAAATTTTAGATAATATCCTAGGAACAGACAATGAGGAACCCAGCCACAGGAAGCACAGCAGAATGAATCCATCAGGCGGGACAAGAAATTGAATGTTAACGGGAAAATCCAACAAAAAGAAAAAGTCATGACAATGATAAGTCAATAAGTATCAGTTATAAGCATCAATGTTCATGGTTTCAGTTCACCAATCAAAAGAAATAGACTGGCAGAATGGGTCAAGAAGTAAAATCAAACAATATGCTACATACAAGAAACACACTTAATTCAAAAAGAAACTTACAGAATAAAATTAAAGGGTGGAAAATAATACTCCATGTGACAGGAACCCAAACGAAAAGTAAGAGTAGCTATGCTTTTACAGATCAAGTGGATTTCAAACCAACACTGATTAAGAGAGACAAACAAGGACACTACTTCCTTGTAAAGGGAACAAACAAACAAGAAGAGATGACAATCATAAATACATATGCACCAAAAACTAGTGTGCCCAACTATATAAAACAAATACTAATGGACATGAAAAGTCACATATGCACTAATACAATTGTAGTGGGGGACCTCAATGCCCCACTGTCACAAACAGATAGATCAACTAGACAAAAAAGAAGTAATGAAATATTAGAACTCAATGGAACTCTTGAACAAATGAACTTAACAGATATTTACAGAGTATTCCACCCCACAAAATCAGAATACACATCCTTTTCAGCTACACATGGGTCATTCTCTAAAATAGGCCACATACTTGTTCATAGAAATGTTTAAGTAAGTATAAAGAAATTGAAGTTATCTCCTGTATATTATGAGACCATAGTGCAATGCAATGGGAGATCAATAGCAAAAGAAACCACAAGAATTTCATAAGCACATGGAAATTGAAAAACACACTTCTGAATAACCAATGGGTCACAGAGGAAATTAAAGAAGAAATCAGACAGTTCCTTCAATTAAATGAC